CTTCTCACAGCTCCACTAGGCAGTACCTCAGTAGGGACTCTGTGTGGGAGCTCCGACCCCACATTTTCCCTTCCACACTGCCCTAATAGAGTTTCTCCATGAGGGCCTCACCTCTACAGCAAACTTCTGCATGGACATCCAGTTGTTTCTGTATATCTTCTGAAATCTAGGCAGAGGTTCACAAGCCTCAATTCTTGCCTTCTGCGTACCTGCAGGCCCAACATAACATGGAAGCTGCCAAGGTTTGGGGTTTGCACTCTGAAACAATGCTCTGAGCTGTACATTCGTCCTTTTTAGCAATAGCTGGAGCAGCTGGAATGCAGGGCACCAAGTTCCAAGGCTGTACACAGCAGGTGGGGGGCTAGACCCAGCCCAGGAAACCATTTTTTCCCTACTCCTAGGCCTCCAGGCCTTTGATGGGAGGGGCTGCTGCGAAGGTCTCTGACATACCCTGGAGACATTTTCTCTGTTGTCTTGGTGATTAACATTTGGCTTCTCATTTATGCAATTTTTTGCAGCTAGCTGGAATTTCACCCCAGAAAATAGGGTTTTCTTTTCTGTTGCATTGTCGGGGTGCAGAATTTCGAGACTTTTATGCTCTGCTTCCTCTTGAATGCTTTACTGCTTATAAATTTCTTCTGCCAGATACCTTACATCATCTCTCTCTAGTTCAAAGTTCCACAGATATCTGGGGCAGGGGCAAAATGTTGCCAGTCTCTTTGCATAGCAAGAGTGACTTTTACTCCACTTCTCAAAAAGATTCTCCATCTCCATCTGAGACCATCTCATCCTTGACTCCATTTTCCATATCACTATCAGCTTTTTGGTTAAAGCCATTAAACAAGTCTCTAGGAAATTCCAAGCTTTCCCACATTTTCCTGTTTTCTGAGCCTTCCAGTTCTCTAGGAAGTTCCAGACTTTTCCACATTTTCCTGTCTGCTCAGTCCTCTAAACTGTTCTAACCTCTGCCTGTTACCCAGTTCTAAAATTACTTCTACATTTTCAGATATCCTTTTAGCAGCACTCCACTCTACCCATACCAATTTACTGTATTAGTCCATTCTCACACTGCTATGAAGAAATACCCAAGACTCTAATTTATAAAGGAAAGAGGTTTAATTGACTCACAGTTCCACAGGGATAGGGAGGCCTCAGGAAACTTAAAATCATGGCAGAAGTGGAGTAAACACATCTTTCTTTGCATGGCAGTAGCAAGGAGAAGTGCTGAGCAAAAAGGGGAAAAACCCTTATAAAACCATCAGATCTTGTGAGAACTCACTCAGTGTCATGAGAACAGCATGTAGGTAACTGCCGCCATGATTCAATTACATCCCACTAGGTCCCTCCCATGACACATGGGGATTATGGGAACTGATTCAAGATGAGATTTGGGTGGGGACACAGCCAAACCATATCAGATCTCCATGGTATATAATTTTATACATGTTTTGTGTGTGTGTGTGTGTGTGTGTGTGTGTGTGTGTGTGTGTGTGTTTGCATAAAGTATGTTACCATTTATTTATTTATTTATTTATTTATTTTTTTTTGAGACGGAGTTTTGCTCTTGTTACCCAGGCTGGAGTGCAATGGCGCGATCTCGGCTCACCGCAACCTCCACCTCCTGGGTTCAGGCAATTCTCCTGCCTCAGCCTCCCGAGTAGCTGGGATTACACCACCGTGCCCAGCTAATTTTTTGTATTTTTAGTAGAGACGGGGTTTCACCATGTTGACCAGGATGGTCTCGATCTCTCGACCTCGTGATCCACCCGTCTCGGCCTCCCAAAGTGCTGGGATTACAGGCTTGAGCCACCATGCCCGGCCTACCATTTATATAAGAAGAATTGTGTATGTTATTTTGTATATATATGCATTAGAATGTCTTGGAAGGATGTATAATATATCCTTGGAAGAATAATATTAAATTTAAATTTAATATTTATAGGTAGTCAATGTTATACATTTATACAATAATATACATAGGTAGGCAATGTTATACAATATTTAAATATTAAATATAACTTTCAAAAACCAAAACTTGCTATAAAGCATTCTGTGGGCTGGGCGTGGTGGCTCATGCCTCTAATCCCAGCACTTTGGGAGGCCAAGGTGCGCGGATTGCCTGAGATCAGGAATTCAAAACCAGCCAGGTCAACATGGCAAAACCCCCTCTCTACTAAAAGTACAAAAAAAAAAAATTGGTCTGGTGTGGTGGCGGACACCTGTAATCCCGGCTACTCGGGTAGTTTAGGCAGGAAAATCACTTGAACCTGGAAGGCGGAGGTTGCACTGAGCCAAGATCATACCATTACACTCCAGCCTGGGCAACAAGAATGAAACTTCATCTCGGAAAAAAAAAATAAAGTAAACATTCTATGATAGCAACCTTCCTCTTTGCTTTCCGAAGTTAATCACTGACATGTACTATTTCTTTATCTGGTACTGTTGCTCAGATATCAAACTTCATTGCTATTTATTTTCACAACTTTTATCTCTTTTATTATGAAATAGTTTAAACATGTAGACAAATAAGTAATTTTCTATTAGCAGATTCTGAGCATCTGAAAGCAGGAGTATGTTTTATTATTTCTTATTCCAGACCATGATAAGTTCTCAATATTTAAGCTCAAGCAATTGACACTAGTGAGATAACTTTGTAAAAAAAAATTTTTTTTTGAGGCGGGGTCTGGTTCTGTCACACATGCTGGAGTGCAGTGGCGCAATCTCGGCTCACTTCAACCTCCGCCTCCTGAGTTCAAGCGATTCTCCTGCCTCGTCCTCCCGAGTAGCTTGGACTATAGGCACGCACCACCATGCCCAACTAATTTTTGTATTTTTAGTAGAGACAGGGTTTCGCCATGTTGGCCAGGCTGGTCTTGAATTCCTGACCTCAAGTGATCTTCCTGCCTCAGCCTTCCAAAGTACTGGGATTACAGATGTGACCCACCGTGCCCAGCTATAACTTCATAAAATCTAAAGCTTTAAATAAATGGTAGTTATTTTTGTTAGAAGTGATATGTTATTCTACGACGCAGTGAAGCCTTACAGTTCTCTGTTGCATTGTTTACATTTTGGGCTTCAGTGAAAAATCCAAATATGTGCCTTTTACTGCCTATCCCAAGTGTAGATTTTTCTTCCACTAACATTGCAGTGGAAGAAATGTTCAAAAACTTACTCCAAAAGTAATTTTAGGTACATTCTGTTTCTAACATGTTCTATTCATACCTGTTTTTGCTTTTATCTCCATATTAATCCTCTTATTCACATCTCAGACTGTCCCCATAGACCCTTCCTGTCTCAGTGCTTCTTTTAAAATGCTATTAAATACCCTTGTTTTACTTCTAAAATTGAATAATGGCAGCCTTGTTCTACACCCTCCTTACCATACTTACCTGCCCCCAACCCACAGGTAATAATTATAAAATCTCAGTGTTAAGTGTTTGTTCTCAAATTTACCCTTTTAAAACTTAGCATGTTTGAAGAGAAAGGTTTGACTTGCTTTTGTTGAATAGTTGTCAAACACTTTGTCCTTTATTCTAAAGGTGGAAGGGAGGTATTAATACCTTTTAAACCTGGAAGTAACGTGATTAAATATCTTTGCATGGCCAGGCATAGTGACTCACACCTGTAATCACAGCACTTTGGGAGGCTGAGGCTGGAGGATCACCTGAGCCTAGAAGTTCAAGACCAGCCTGAGCAACATAGTGAGACCCTGTCTCTACGAAGAATTTAAAAATTAGTTGGGCATGGTGGTGCACACCTGTAGTCCCAGCTACTTGACAGATTGAGGCAGGAAGATTGCTTGAATCCATCCATCCTGGGCAATAGAGCGAGACCCTATTTCAAATACACACACACCCACACACACACACACACACACTCACTCACTCACTCTCTCTCTCTCTCTCTCGCATAACTTATGTGGGCTTTCTATCTTCACCACTTTTATAATTTGAGAATTTCACATAGGGGCACATTTAGCCTATGGTGTTCATGTCCCTGAGCAACTGTAGAACATCTGATACACTTGTGTTTTGTTTTTTTCTCATCTCTTCCCTTTTTTCTGCAGCTACCTTTATTTCCTTTCTCTTTTTTCCCCTCCTTCTCTCTTAGGGTGTCAATGACACCCAATGCTGTCTGTGGCCATTACTTAACCCTGCTAAGTTACCTAGGCTACACATAATCTGCATAGAGAGATGCTTGTTCTGTTCTCTGAAGTAACATAGGGACCGAATGCAGTAAGTTATTATACCAAACCTGCTTGGAGTGGTTCTCAAGTTTGTCATTTTAGCCTAGAAGTCTATTTTGAGTGGTTGGATTTAAGAACTTATATCAGCACTTTGGGAGGCCAAGGCGGGCAGATCACTTGAGGCCAAGAGTTCAAGACCAGCCTGGCCAACTTGGCAAAACCCCATCTCTACCAAAACTACAAAAATCAGCTGGGTGCAGTGGCGCATGCTTGTAACCCTGGCTACTTGGGAGACTGAGGCAGGAGAATTGCTTAAACCCAGGAAACAGAGGCTGCAGTGAGCTGAGATGATGCCATTGCATTCCATGATAGCCAGACTCTGTCAAAAAGAAAAAAAACTCCTATCAAGGCACTTCAGATTTTTCAGGTTTGTGATGATATAATTATGGCTAAATTGGATTATGTTGTAAACTTTCAGCCAACCTGGTCCAGCCCTTGGCCTGTGGGTCATGTGGCCCAGGATGGCTTTAAATGCAGCCCAACACAAATTTGTAAACTTCCTTAAAACATTGTGAGATTTTTTTTTTTGGCCCTTTCTTTTCTTTTCTTTTTTTCAGCTCATTGGCTATCATTATTGTTAGTTTATTTTGTGTGGCCCAGGACAATTATTCTTCTTCTACTGTGGCCCAGAGAAGCCAAAAGACTAGACACCCGTGCTTTAAACAATTGCATTTTACATTTTATTACAAGAAAAGCAAGGTTTGTTTAACTTAAATCCAACAATTTAATTTATAATTTTACTTAATTAATCTAGGTATGGATGGCAGAACAGAAAATATCATACGATAAGAAGAAACAAGAAGAATTAATGCAGCAATATCTTAAAGAACAAGAATCATATGATAATAGGTAAGAAATTCTATGCCAGTATTTCTAGAATTATCAATTTAATGAGAATCATTTTCTACTGAATAATATATTAAGTCAGGTTTTGGAATCGAATGCCCAGTTATAGGATTCATTTCTTTCCCTGAGGGCTATCTCTTTTACTCTCATACCTGTAGATGGCCTCTTTTTCCAGCTTTATCATGATTCATGTAAAATACAGATTCATGTGACTCATATACAGTCTTTGAGCAAGTCTCAAACTAGGCAAAGCTTAGAAGAACAATAAATGTACACACTTGAACTGCTGAGACCTCTTAGAAACTTATTTCTTTAACACACTCAAATGAAAAGATACCTAGGACACCTTCAAGAAGAAAAGTAAAGTGACTATTTGACATGCATGTCATTGTTCTGTTAAAAGCTGTATCGTGGCTAGAGTATTTCATTGGTGTCTTCTAACATGGTACCTGCCTTTAGCTAGTGTTTGTATATGCAGATCTAACACTGAAGCTGATATCTCTTGGTTAAGCAATTGAATAATGGTGTTTTGGTAAATTTTTCATAAAGTTCAATTTTTAATCAAAATGTGGAATTTAGCAAAGTAATACTAGACTATTACTATTTAAAATATAGTATATTGAGAGGAAAATTAAAGAAATAAAAGTTGAGTAGCCTTCTTACTAATTTTATTTAATCTTGTTAACTTTTGTTGATACCTACTCTATGCATGACGTTAAGTGGTAGTATAGGGACCTGTAAAAGTGTGTAAAGCGTAATCTCTCTACCCTTAGGAAACCTTAGTAAGAGATACATACATATAGTTCAAAGCCAAATATAATAACTGATATATTAAAACCACACACTGCTTTTAAAAATACAGTATGTGGCCGGGCACGGTGGCTCACGCCTATAATCCCAGCACTTTGGGAGGCCGAGGCGGGTGGATCACGAGGTCAAGAGATCGAGACCATCCTGGTCAACAAGGTGAAACCCCGTCTCTACTAAAAAATACAAAAATTAGCTGGGCATGGTGGTGGGCGCCTGTAGTCCCAGCTACTTGGCAGGCTGAGGCAGGAGAATTGCTTGAACCCAGAAGGCAGAGGTTGCGGTGAGCCGAGATTGTGCCATTGCCCTCCAGTCTGGGTAACAACAGTGAAACTCTGTCTCAAAAAAAAATACAGTATGTTAGTGTAGGAAAGAATAATTCCAGTTAGGATAACAAGGAAAACTTTATGCAAGAGGTGACATTAAAGCTGAAATCTGAAGAATGATAAGGATTTAGATAGGTGGTTCTCAACTGAGCACCATTTTTTGCAACCCTTGCCCAGGGGACATGTGGCAATGTTTGGAGACACTGTTTTGACAATGTTTTGATTGTCACAACTGCGGACTGGGGTACTATTAGCTTCTAGTGGGTGGAGGTGCTAGATGCTGCAAAACAGCCTATAATGCACAGGACCGCTCCACACAGCAAAGAACCCCTCAGTCCAAAATGTCAATAGCATCACTGTTTTAAAGCCCTAATTTATATATATTAATAGTAAAAACATATTAAACAGCACTGTGGGAAAAGAGAAGGTATTCAGGAAACAGTTGTTGAGTTAGAGGGATAAAAACAGAGTGGAGGTGGAAAACTGGGTTTGAAACAGATCATGGTGTTCATGTTTATTCTTTATCTTAAAAAAAAGTTACTGTTTTCCCTTTGTAATTAATTAACATTTGAAGCCCTGCAAATACTATTTCTCCTTGGACTTTTGCCGAATTTTGGTATTCATCAGTAGATACTGCCTGCGTCAATTATTTATTTATGTGGTGTTCTAATGGTGATTTTCTGTTTCTGTCATTTTCTCTACATTTCTTAATTTGAATTCCTCTTTAAGGAAGAATTTCCCTTATCTAGTTATTATTTGTTTTCTATCAATATAAACTCATCGATATTTCTTTGGATTGTAATCTAATATTATTGTTACTTATTTTCTGCACGACAGAAATCACATTCTTTATCGTTCTAACACTTAAAGTTCCCTGTTTGAGCTCTGTTTAAAAAAGGGTATGCTAAGCTGTTTAGAAAAAAAAGCTCTGTAACAAATGGAAAGACTGGTTGAGTCAAAGTTTTAATTCACAAGATCCAAGTAAAAATAATAAGGCGGCTAAAGAGTGAATATAATGTCTCCTTATATTTGGAAAAGATAATCACAAAGGACATATGACATGATTATAATTCCTCTCCTTATATCCACTGTATTCTGTAAAGAACTATTAAAAAAAAAAAGCAAAAGGCCACAGGGATCTACATCCCTACAATAGAGTGGTATTCAGCTATGAAAGGCTGAAGTAGTGATATATGCAATACCGTGGGTCAACTTCAAAAACATTACGCTATGTGAAAGAAGCCAGTCACAAAAGACCACATGACGTATGATCTAATTTATAGGACATGTCCAGAATAGGCAAATCTACAGAGACAGCAAGTAGATTAGTGGCTACTCTGAGCTGAGAGGTAGAAGGTGGGAGGACAAGGCGATGGAATGAGAAGTGACTGCTATCGGGTAGAAGATTTCTTTTTTGGATAATGTAAATGTTCTGAAATTAGATTACAGTGATGTCTCCAAAAGTCTAAATATACTTAAAAACAACATATACTTTAAACATGTGTATATATACAGTTATATATGGCTGTATATATACACCTGTTTAAAGTGTATGTTATACACCTGTTTAAAGCATTTAAAGTGTATAATATAAGATATATACTTTAATTTATATTAAATTAACATCATTAAAATATCAAAATCCTGGCCGGGTGTGGTGGCTCACTCCTGAAATTCCAGCACTTTGGAAGGCAAATCATGAGGTCAAGACATCGAGACTATCCTGGCCAACATGGTGAAACCCCATCTCTACTAAAAATACAAAAATTAGCTGGGTGTGGTGGCGTGCACCTGTAGCTCCAGCTACTCAGGAAGCTGAGGTGAGAATCGCTTGAACCTGGGAGGCAGAGGTTGCAGTAAGCTGAGATCACACCACTGCACTCCACTCCAGCCTGGCGACAGAGTAAGACTTGGTCTCAAAAAAAAAAAGGAAAATCCTGCAAGAAAAATGACCATGCCATTTTTTTCTTTTTTTGTTGGGATGGCCAGGATCTCTCAGGTAGTAAGAAAGTCTCAGAGTTTATAACCAGTTACTAAAGAAGCAGCACTGTTTGATTTCCATTCAGATATTTCAGATGTAATCTAGTCAGTAGAGTAAAGTTTTAGAACTCTGTTTCTAACAAAAATATTTTATCTTAATTCCCTTAGGTTTTTTGGTGGGGAGTGGATTAGCCTGTGATATTTTTTGTCCTACATGCAATTATTAACTTTGTCTTGTTGCACTTAGATTGCTTATGGGAGATGAACGTGTAAAGAATGGCCTTAATTTCATGTATGAAGCCCCACCAGGAGCCAAGAAAGGTACATATCTCTTCCCTTTCCTTTTCTTTTTTTTCTTTTTTTTTTTTTTTTGAGATGCTGTCTCGCCCTGTCACTGAGGCTAGAGTACAATGGCACAATCTCGGCTCACTGCAACCTCTGCCTCCCAGGTTCAAGCAATTCTCCTGCCTCAGCCTCTCGAGTAGCTGGGTTTACAGGCACACACCACCTCATCTGGCTAATTTTTTGTATCTTTAGTAGAAACAGGGTTTTACCATATTGGTCAGGCTGCTCTTGAACTCCTGACCTCAAGAGAGCTACCCACCTTGGCCTCCCAAAGTGCTGGGATTACAGGCTTGAGCCACGGTGCCCAGCCTCCTTCCTTTTAAGTCTTTGATGTGTTTGCAGCTAAAGATTGAAAACTATGACAGATATTTTTTTTAAGTTGCTATTTATCTTTTAAAATTGCTGTTATCCTGTGAAGATAATAAAAACTATAATCATACAACACAATAAATACTAAAAAATATCTTTCTAATCTGGTAATATTTCATAATGTGCCCTTTGAGGAGGAAGAAAGCCTTCATGTCCAAAGTACGTTTATTCTTTCATAATTTACATATATATAGTTCTTCTTACTATTTAATATTTTGTAAATTAAAAAACATAATATTCACTGTCAATGCACAGAAAAAGTTTAAAAACTAGGAACTAACATGCTTATTAAGTACTATCTCTTACTTTGTATTTTATCCTGCAATGGTCTAAATTTTTATCTTGTGAAAGAAGAAAAAAAGTAAAACCAATGAACTCTTTTGACAATTACGTAATATATCATAGTGTATACAGTAGACTTTTGTGTTGACATTTTTAACTTGTTATACCTTTTTTCTTCCATATTTTTGATATGCAATCAAGAAAATAAAGAGGTAAAGGACTATTTTCTTTTTCTGAATTTACTTGCAATTCATTGTATTTTATGGAAAAGTTAAAAGAATTTTCAATGAATGTTTTTAGAAAGAAGAAACAGAGGGAGAGACTGAATACAAATTTGAATGGCAGAAAGGAGCCCCACGAGAAAAGTAAGGACTGGTTTACTTTTAAGACAAGATATGTATCATTAAATTTGTATTTACCTGATATCCCATCTTATGTTGCTTTTTCAATCATTAGAGGAGGCAACTGATGTGAAAAGTTATTCTTAACGATTTTAATTAGCTGTCTTATTCAACTAATCTGCTTGATAGTAGTCTTTTATATACTTTTTCATGTTTTTAAAATCACAAATTATCAGACTAGACACATAATAACTAAATGGTGTTTTGAAACAGTAAATTTTATAGTTCTAAATGTTTACTGAAGTAATATATTTTGTAATGTTCTTAGAACTATAAAATTATTTTTCTGATTAACTGCTCTTCAGTATTTTAAATTATTCTTAATATTGTGCTTGTACATTTCCTCTAATAGATATGCCAAAGATGACATGAACATCAGAGATCAGCCCTTTGGTATTCAGGCAAGTGACATATATTTTACACTGTAAGAATAATTTTTTTTAATAAATATGTCTTTATATTGATGCCTAAAAGGTGTGTAAGCTGAAAAGGGGCACTATGGTTTTGATTTGTATCAGAAAATATAAGGAATAGAGGAGAAAACATTAAATGTAGTAGACTGATAAAAGATACGAATCAAGCTTTTAGAGTGAGAGCTACAATGATATTGGTCTCTTCAGTTTTCTAAAAATTTGGAGAATTAGCTCAAGGTTAAGAAAAGATTTAAATCTATTATTGGTTTAGAATCAGACAGACTATCAGCAGAGGGCAAATTCTTGTGGTAAAGAAAGTTTTATTGGAACACTGCTTTGCCTATTCATTTACTTACTGGCTACGCCTGCTTTCCTATTACAGCAGCAGAATTCAGTAGTTATAAAAGACAACATCTGTCCCAAAAAGCCTAAAATATTTACTATATTTAGACCTTTAAAGAAAATATTTACCAGCTCCTAGTTTAGAAATTCGAAACTTACTAAAATTAGAGAATTTAAGCTTAAATTCTTCACATAATGACCTAATTCTTTTTGGTATTTTGCCATTTCTTTTTGAATGACATTATATTGCCACCAAGCAAAAGGCAATAAGAAATGGGATTCAGCTTGCTTCTAGGCAAAATTTATAGTGAAAGATTTTAGTCTTTGTATTAAATTACCAAATATAGTTACAGAGTCTCTTTCCCTGGAGATCTTTGAAAAACGTAATTTTAGCTTAAATTCTATCAAGGAATAGGAATTTCAACATTGGTTAGATTCTTACTATTTTAGTAACCAAAATAACATTCATTATTTCTCAGGTTCGAAATGTGAGGTGCATTAAATGTCACAAATGGGGTCATGTTAACACAGATCGAGAGTGTCCTTTGTTTGGTCTTTCTGGAATCAACGCAAGTTCGGTTGCCACTGATGGCTCAGGTAGGCACTAGACATGACTTGTTTTTGGGAGAGGACAAACAAGGACAGATTAAACAACATTTTTCTTTAGTCTTTCTGGGTATTGTTTTATGAGGGTTTGTGTGTGTGGTTTTTTTCTTTTTGTTTTTTCTTTTTTTGGACTAAGACCATTCCCAAAATATGATTAATGGGAAACTGATGTTGAATTGAAATGCTGTGTAATAGGATTAAGTTTAATTTTTCCAGCCAAAGGCCCTGTGAACTAAGTTTTGAGGTAAAATACATTAAACATAGTTGATCAGGTTAGTAGCCTAAAAATGGAAGAAAAATGGTATTTTCTCCTATTCATGCCCTCCTGAATTATAAAACTAGACTGGACTGAAAGCCTCAGCAGCCGTCTCTTTTTAGTACAGAGATAAAAACAAGGTGAGTATGCTCAAATTGTTTTTGACTTAAAGTTACTTACTGTCCTGCCTATTACTGTCTACTTCAGAAAATTGGTCTAATTTGGTTTAGATCATTTTGGTTCTTTTTGTAAAAAGATACTAAACTGAGAAGTTTTAACTTAGATTTATCAGTGCCTTGTTAGTATATTATTGAAACAGGCACAATAATCCAACCCTAATTTGTAATAGATCATGATAGAAATAATTTGCTTAATACTATAACCGTAAGTTAGTCCTTTTACTTTTATGAACTTCAGCTCCTTATTTTAAAATAAGGATGATAGTACTTGGAGATTTGCTGCATTTTTAAAGCAGCTACAGAACCCTTTTTTTTGTTTGTTTGTTTGTTTTTAAAGAAATCTTACATGAAACCTCAGTATAAGAACATACAAAAGCAGGACTGCTCTATTAAAGCTCTGGGCATGAAAGCCCTGTCCTCTCAGGCCACCAACACCTGTGATGCACCTCCTTAGACTCCCTTTGGATCTCATAGCTGCCTCAATCTGAGCCCAGGGTTCACTCTCAATCAGCATACGATCTTTAGCCTCTATTCTATAGCTAGAGCTCCTGCTTCTTTCCAGCAAGCCGATATAGCATTCAAAGTGCCAGTTCTCCTATTAGGAGTTTAGGAATTTGCTGAATGATAAGTTTGTCTGTTTTTTTTTTTTTTTTTTTTTGAGGTGGTGTCTCACTCTGTTGCCTAGGCTGGAGTGCAGTGGCACAATCTCGGCTCGCTGCAACCTCTGCTTCTTGGGTTCAAGCGATTGACCTGCCTCAGCCTCCCAAGCAGCTGAGTTTATAGGCACACACCACCACACTGGCTAATTTTTATACTTTTAGTAGAGACAGGGTTTTGTCATGTTGCCTAGGCTGGTCTTGAACTCCTGAGCTCAAAGTGATCTGCCTGCCTTGGCCTCCCAAAGTGCTGGGATTACAGGCATGACAAAAACCTTTTTCTTTTTTTGTAAGGTGGGGACAGAGTCTTGTTCTGTTGCCCTAGTGGAGTGCCATGGCCCAATATCGGCTTACTGCAACCTCAACCTTCAACTCTCAGGTTCAAGCGATTCTTCTGCCTTAGCCTCCCACGTAGCTGAGATTATGGGCACCTACCACCACATTCGGCTAATTTCCTATATTTTTAGTAGAGAGGGGGTTTCACCATGTTGGCCAGGCTGGTCTGGAACTCTTGAGCTCAGGTAATCCATCTGCCTCAGCCTCCCAAAGTGGTAGGATTGTAGGTGTGAGCCACTGTGCTCAGCCCTTTTTTTTTTTTTTTTTTTTGAGGCAAGGTCTGGTTCTGTCACCCAAGCTGGAGTGCAGTGGCGCAATCTCAGCTCACTGCAACCTCCAACTCCCAGGCTCAAGCTATCTTCCCACCTCAGCCCCTGAGTAGCTAGCTGAGACTATAGACACACACCACCATGCCAGGCTAGTTTTTGTATTTGTTAACAGAGATAGGGTTTCACCATGTTGCCCAGGCTGGTCTCAAACTGCTGGGCCTGCCTCAGCCTCCCAAAGTGGTGGGATTACAGACAGGAGCCACCAGGCCTGGCAAGTAACCCCGTTTTAAATAGAAGGAAACTATTTGTTCAGTTGAAGTAGAAGGAAATTATTTGCTCAGTATTGTCAGGTGAGACAGTAACGATATGGACTTAAGTCTGGCGATCTCTGACAAAAGAACATCCCACTGATACCACAGTACAGGTACCCTTAAAAGTTTGTATACCTAATACCGTCTCTCCTCCCTTGCCCCCAGCTAATGAGTAGAAGAAGGGAGAAAGGCCTCAAAGGAAATAAAGCCCCAAAGAAAATGGAGTAGCATATATTATGTACTGAAAACCCATTTTCAGAAATACAAATATTTTGTGTTTCAGAAGTACAAATTGTATTTCTGAAAATGGGTTTTCAGTACATATTTGTACTTCTGAATATGTTTGTACATTATTTCAGAAATGTACTGAAATATTTCAGTAAGTACAGACATATTCAGAAGTACAAATATAAGTACAAACATATTCAGAAGTACAAATATTTCAGAAATGTACCGAAATATTTCTGACCCTTTTTTTTAGTCGCAGGGATTTGTTGTTATATCTGAAAAGTATAACCTGTTTTCTGGAAGTGGTGGCATCTTTCTCATCTTTTCCTTCACTCTAACCTTGTAGTGCCCCTACAACCGCATGACTTGTGAGTTGACTTGGGTCAGGCGGAAGTAATAGTGACCTTTATGCCTCAACCTTGTCTTACTCTGATCCTGAGTACATAGACTCCAGACTTAGTGCTTTCTTTTAATAATCAGTAGACTTGATTTCTCTTGAGTCTGTGTTAGGAAGTTGGCTAAAAATCAAAAGAACTTGTGCTAACTGAATAGTCAACCTGTAGAGTACTGGAAACAGTAAAACCTCACAAAAGCATGCCCACAATTATGTGAATTCAGATATAATAAAGCTGGTTATTATTGGCTCTTCTCCAGCCACCTTATAATAACTCAGTCACTCAATTTATACAATTGACAGTTTTAGACCCCTCTTACGCTGGGGTTTTACTGTAGTACTATTCCTTAGTAAAATGAACTTTTTCAGAATCAAGGGAATGAACTAGAAAAAAATATTCAATCATTTGGTTCCTATCAAGTTTTAACATATATGAACCAGACTTGTGAAGTCTACTTATTAGTAATTCTTTTTCTCTAAATGAATTGAGCAGCTGGGTGGGAGAGGATGCAAAGCATTACCTTTGTGAAAATAGTATGGTTTCTCTGCATGAGGCTGATACCCCTAATATATACAATGTTCTTTCAGGGCTGGGCACGGTGGCTCATGCCTGTAATCCCAGCACATTGAAAGGCCAAGGCAGGAGGATTGCTTGTGCCCAGGAGTCCAGGACAGCCTGGGCAACATGATAAAACTCTGTCTCTACAAAAAATACAAAAAAAATTAGCTGGGCTTGGTGATCTGCACCTGTAGTCCCAGCTTGTCAAGAGGCTGAGGCAGGAGGATCGTTTGAGTACAGGAGGTTGAGGCCGCAGTGAGCCAGGTTTGCACCACTGTGCTCCAGCCCTGGTGACAAAGTCAGACTCTGTCTCCAAAACGAAAATGTTCTTTCAAGTCAGTATGAGGAAGATGAACAAACAAACATGAAGGAGCAAAGAACATAAAGACGGTTTACAAAAGGAGGAATTCAAATGACCATTAAACATATGAAAATATTTTCAACAACATGAATAACAAAGAAATGAAAACTAAAACAATATATTACCTTTTTGCCTGTAAAACTTGGTAAAGATTTTTAAAAGGTATCCATCCAGTATGGCACAAGTGTGGTAAAGTGAACATTTTATTTGTTTATTTGTTTATTTATTTGAGAGAGTGTGTTATCCTCTTTCCAAGACTTGAGGGCAGTAACATGGGTCTCGCCTCACTGCAACCTCTGCCTCCCAGGCTCAAGCAATCCTCCCACCTCAGCCTCCTGAGTAGCTGAGACTACAGGCATAAGCCACCATGCCCAGCTAATTTTTGTACTTTTTGTAGAGATGGGGTTTCACCATCTTGCCCAGGCTGGTCTTGAACTCCTGACCTCATGATCCACCAGCTTCAGCCTCCCAAAGTGCTGGGATTACAGGTGTGAGCCACTGTGCCCAGCCTACATGAACATTTGAATCCTCTCCATAAATTAAAGCAACCTTTCTAGAGGGTTTATATATTTGCTGATATATATCAAAAGCCTGAAAAACATGCATACCTTTTTAGAAATTTGCCTTCCAGTAATTTATAATAAAAATGTGATAAGCTGGCTGGGCGCGGTGGCTCATGCCTGTAATCCCAGCACTTTGGGAGGCCGAGGCGGGTGGATCACGAGGTCAAGAGATTGAGACCATCCTGGTCAACATGGTGAAACCCCGTCTCTACTAAAAATACAAAAAAAAATTAGCTGGGCATGGTGGTGCGTGCCTGTAATCCCAGCTACTCAGGAGGCTGAGGCAGGAGAATTGCCTGAACCCAGGAGGCGGAGGTTGCCGTGAGCCGAGATTGCACCATTGCACTCTAGCCTAGGTAACAAGAGCAAAACACCATCTCAAAAAAAAAAAATGTGATAAGCCAGATTTTCTAAGATTTATAGTAGTGAAAGATTGGCAACAACCCTAAATGTTCATCAGTAGTTGGTAAGATAAACATATTTATTCAGTCATCATTTATGGAGCACTTTTTCTGTGCCAGGCCTTGTTCTAGGCTCTAGGAACGCAATGCTAACACCTTTCATTATATTGGGAATGACACACAGTAAACTAGTAAATAAGAAAATGTCAGGTATTTATAAATTCTGTGATGAATATTTAATTGAATACTGTGATGAGAACTAAACGGGGAATTACTTTAGATTAAGGGTCAGGAAGGGCTCCTCTAAGGAAGCAATGTTAAGCTGAGACCTGAATGACGGGAAGGATGCAGACATGCAAGACGGGAAAAGAGCAGTGAGCACCTTAGGCAAAAGGAATACCACTTCATATAGAGGAAACCATCATTTCTGAGGGGCCCTGTACTCAGTGGTTAAGCACACAGGCTGAGGAGCTGTGGA